AATTTTAAAAAGATTTATAACTTTATAAATTATTATAATTTTAAAAAATGAAACCAATTCTTGTAAAAATTCATTATTCATTGAAAAAAAAAAAAAAACTGTCCATAATATATCTTATTCATAAAAGTCTTCTTGATTAAATAATGTCTTAGGTTAATTGCATTTTTTTATATTATGATTTAAAACAGATTTTCTGTAACCAGGGATCCTGTTTTCTAAAAAAGAATAGATGACTTAAATTCTCCAAGGACTTGTACTTATAAGTGAGGGGTAATGTGTAAAAAGAAAAATAAGTTTTACCAAGATTTTCTAGAAACGAAATGTTTAAAAAATATTTTCATTCATTTGTAAATCAGTCTTGAAAGTTTCATTAAAATTAAATGATTATCTGAATTTTGCAAGAATTTCCAAATAAATGTGACTTTTCACTGCAAAAAGATGCTCAAATTTCTCATACTAATATATGGTTCTGCTTTGACACAAGAAAAACAAAACTTTGAAGGTTCTTAAAGGATTAAGAATATAATTTAATAATCAAAACATCCACTGATCTTTCCTCTTAATAATAACACAGCTTTGGAAAATCAAACTTTGTTTTTATTATGTTTGAGGCATATATGCTCATTTTTTTAGCAAATCTTTGGAGGTACCTACATAGGAGAAATCAAAGAAAATTTTAAATCTCCAAAGTAATTTTAAATTGAATTTAGACATGGACAGATTTATTGGTTTATTGGAAGATATTTTTAAAAACTGTTTACCAAAAAAAGAAAAACATTTTTAACATATTTTGTGTAATTGATTTTTAATCTTTCTTTAAGCAAAACGTACCTCACCCCTCCAAATTGTTTCTTACATTTATTTTTAGGGAAATAACATTGAATGTATTAGTCTATTTGAGTGGGGAATTAGATTGGCAGACATCTAGGATGACTGGTTATAGTGTCAAGAGGAACTGGAAATAATTTTTTTTTTTTCCTTCCACATTTGACTAACATCTCTTTTTCAGACCAGCCTGAGTATTATCATTATTATTATTATTGCCATTATTATTATTATGTTAAAATGAATTTGTCAAAATAGAATTGCCCAACATTAGTTGATGACTATATCCCAAGTAAATTTAATATTATTGAAAACAAAGGAGTGATGAAGTATTTGTGAAGACAGTGGGTAGTTATAAGAAAAGTCAAAATCTTGCCTTGGTATATTGGATTCAAATGCAATTGGCACTAAAATTCAACCACACACACACAATTAAATAAGGAATGCCGCCCTGTCAACTGGAGCTTCAGAATATGCCAACTGCACCTCATTGGGGATAAAATACCCCCAATGAGGACATGTGTTTGCCATGGTTGGCAATATGTAAATAACGATGCAGCCTAGAGACTCCTCCCCACAGGTTATCCAAAAATCACTAATCAAAAATAATTTAATAAAACAAAGATCTCCAATCCACCTCCAACCCTCACTGAAGAAAACTCCCCCAACAAAAAAAAAAAAAAAAAAACTCTAGAGAGAAATTTCCTAAAGAAAATACAAGAATACAAAAAAAAAGTCAACAAGAACATCAATGGAAACCCAATAAATTACCAACCAATAGCACTCAGCAGCTGTATTTGTAAGATGCTTGAAAGGATTATTAAGAGCAGATTAATATGGTATCTGGAAACTAATAACAAAATAACATGACGGTTTCCAAAACAAAAGAAACTCTATTGATCATCTAATTCGACTGTAAACAACCATGCAAGAAACCTTCATAAAAAAAATTTAATGGCAGTATTCTTTGATTTGTAGAACACTCTTATGATACAACCAGAAAGAATGGCAAAAAAAAAGGCACAAAACCCCGGAGTAAAAGACAGAATGCCATCCTTTATCTGAAACTTTTTGCAAGACACATTTTAAGGTGCATTTACATGACAAGGAACAAGGTAACCTACAGAGAAGCATTCTATCTGTTACCCTGTTCAGTATTAAAATTAATAAGATAGTAAAAAAAAGAAAAGAAAAAAGAAACAAATACAGGAACAGATTGTGACCTCTGTGTGGATGACTTTTTGATCAACTATAGATCGATAGCTCAAGCTATGTTGTAATAAAACAAATGGGATACAGAGAATGGGTTTAAATTTTCAAAAAAAAAAAAAAAAATGTATGGACTTCTGCCAGTTTTGAAAAATGTATAACAATTCAACATTAAAACTAAACAGCAACATAATTCCAGTTGTAGAACAATACAAGTACCCCATCATATTCGATAAAAAACTAACATACCCCCATATAAAATGCTTAGTCCAAATGCTAGAAAACTCTACAACTGCTTAGAGTTATTGGTTATAGAGACTGGGGAGTAAAGAAAGAATCATTGCTCAATTAATACTGTGCATTAATTAGATTGAAACTCAATTATAGTTGCTTTATATATGGTGAAGCAAGAAAAAGCTGCACAAAAGAACTCAATACAGTACATTATCAAGCATTAAGAATATCT